TGCTATTGTTCATAGACAGGACTAAACTCCATGGAAACGCATAGTAAAAATCCTGAAAAAAAGTACAACTTTCCATACGATTTTTCGTTAAAAAAATCCGATAATTTCATTACCTACTATGTAAAAAAACTTATTTTTTGAACTAGTTGATAATTGGAGGTTTCGCAATTTAGGTATCAGATTGTGCTAATAATGTTGTGTAAATAACGTCTTGTAGGTGTTATTTCGGTTTAAACACCAAAAATAATAATGGGACACCCTATACATATAATCAAAATATCAAAAATAATTTATTGATGGTTCCTTTAAGTGAAATGATAAGGAATCATATCGTGACATAATCGTTGTATTTGTATTAAAAAATACTACTCAATACAGTATCTACTTTTTTTCCAGGTCCATATAAAAATATGAAGTTGATGATGGTTTCTCAAAGAAGAAACGTGTGAAAATTTGTGGGCACCATCTTGTAGAGTTTACAAAGTTCATATAAGGATATTTTTTTAATGAAGTTTTCCATTTTTTTGCCGGTGAATTAATTTCTAGGTAAGTATAAGGAAAAAAATTCATGATCATAAAAAATATCAAAAAACTAGAGCTATCTAGTATACTCCGTAAAAAAAATAAGATTCATATAAGGATCTTTTCAATCATGGTCAAAAGTTAATTTCGGTTTTTTCGAATATCTTCGGAACTCATCGGAATTTCCGAATCATTTTACTAAGCCCTAAAATACGCAAGTTTTTTCTAATTAAACCGATTGTGTATCTCTTATGGTTTTCGATTTCCCCATGCTCTTCATTCTTATCTTGGACACACTGTATAAAGGAACAATACATTGAATTGCTGGCAAATGAGATGATTGGTAGGTTTATTCTAAGGTTTATACTAACACATTGTTGTCATTTTCAAGGTAATTAGAATATTCATACACCTGCTGTGAACTATGATGTCTCAACCCATACACCTTAGGTGTACTAAATTTTAGTGTCTTGGAATTTTTTGCATTCTGCTTCTATATGTGCTAATGGTCAGTTCCATTGCCTAAAAAGGAATCAAACGGTCACTTTATTATTTTGCTGAAAAAATGAGGTCACATTGGAGAAACAGGTGGTAGGTAGGGGCCCTTTGCGATAGATTTCGCTATTGGCCTCCTGATTTATCGCCCCGTTTAGTTCGTTCCACTAATGCAAGCATCAATTGTTCTCCGTTCTTTTTCCTAGCCAATCGACGAGCGTTCGCTTCCTAGCGGCAGATAACTTCTTTATTAGGTATGCCTCGAGGTATGCTATGCAAAAGGGCCGTAATCAATTTTGGTGGAACATGTTTCCCATTGCATAAATCTTATTGAAATAGCAGTCAAGATTTGCGCATTGATAAAGTATCTCGAAATGATTTCCATTAAGGGCATCAGAAAGCACAAGCATTTACAGATTAACAAAGCCGTGTATCTTTAGATTCACCTAAAGGCCGAGAAAAAACGATGAGCTCAAATGTATCGAATCCAGGCTGCCTTCTAACTAAGGCAAAGATAAAACGCACGGATTCAATTAAATTCCTCAGAAAGTTCGATAGAACGCATTCGATTGAGTTATCTCTGTTGGCGTTTTACAAAGATAAATTAACTGAAAAGAACTGGGAATGTAAACCATATTTTTTAGCGAACATAATCTAAACGGCAATATCTATATGAATTATGCCATAACATTTAAGCTTAATTTGTAATTGTGTGTGCGAGTATCGCGAACAATTTACAAAAATGACACAATCAATTACCTAAATTGACTTTGGCTGAAAATAAAGGGAATTTATCAGAAACCGTTGGCATCATCCCAAATGTACAGATATCTCTGTACTTTATCTGACATCAGCAAGCAGAGGTTTTAAATGTTTAAGCAGAAGGATAAATAAATGGTCAAACAGGAAAAATAATCACATAACTTCGCCCCCTTAATATGTATATAACCCCAGAAGTTTGTTTATGATTTTATTTTTATAATTCCTCTTTTTTTCATTAAGATCGAGTTGAAAGTTCGACAAGATGAAAATCTGAATATGACGGCAATTGAAAAATTTCGAAGTTGTAAAGGAATAATTTTATGTCAATTCTACAAGTTTTATTAACTTCTTCCTTCTATATCAATTTATTAAATGTAAACTTTAGACATTTCTGCTAAAATGTTATCGATTGATGTATAGAGTCGGGATATTTCAGATTTATTCGCTTTTTATCTTGATGTAAAATTTCTGACGTATTTAGGTCGCTTAAAAATTTTACAACTTGTGGAATATCTCCCTAATGGAAAGTTGTTTGCAAAACTTAACGGTTAAATTGATCATCCGCTACCTAGTTTTTACAACCTTGGCAACTAGATTTGTTAGTTAATGTTAAAAGTAAAACGAATTATCCGAACAGTTAAGTGATTCTTGTTCTTGTTTCGTTCGTTAGTGACATGCGATTTGGATGTGAATATTCTCTCCATGAAGTTTAATAAACTGGATTTTTAAGAGATAAATCAAAGTACTGATAAGGGAACTTTAAAAAAAACTAGAAGATGAATTTGCCAAGTTGAGTTTCTAGGAAGATTGAGTGGGAAAATAGTTGCACGATTAATTATTGTCGCAAGCTAAGTTTATGAGAAAAGAACATAAATCTGAGGAAAAATGTTATAATTGCAAAGGTTGTGGGCATTTCGGTTCAAAATGTCCTAAACCAAAGGTCGACTCGAGTTAGGCACCAATTTATCATGTCAAACAATGTAAAAAAAGCATATTTCTTGGACTGCTTAATAGGCCAGAAGCCTACCAGCTGTTATGTTGATACATGCTGTGGTTCTGTGTTGAGTAAAAAAAAAACTGCACTTTATCTGGGGTTTGTACCGGTTTGGTTACAAATACCGACGGTTTGTTGTGTATATCCTTCTTATACTTTCCTGTTCTCCGCGTCGTGGGTTAAGTAGTTCGCAAAGTAATTACACCTAACTGCACAGTTGAATCCAAAACAACATACTTGTAGTTTATACAAGCCCAATACAAATTTTCAAACTAATGTACAAATAAAATTTTCTAATTCAAAATATACGAATTCAAAGGCATAAGGTCTGGTTGGGTAAGATCTGGGTCGCTAGTAATATTTCTTTGTTTTTTTTAATCTGTATCTTTCTTTCTTTTTCTCTGTCGTTTCTTCTCGTCATTCTCTTAAATGGGTCTTTTTGAATTCCTTCTATCTTAAAAATTTCTCAAGATTCTTCCATATTTCTCCTCCATTACCATCTTCCATTCTTCTTCGAATTGGCATTACTTCTTTTTCTAACGCTGCTCCTAGCTTCCCTTTGCCTTTTTCCTCTAATGTTTAGTAATGTTCAATAAGGTTCTTCATTTCAGGTGAAACCTTGTGGTTTTTGTTCTCCAACTCTGATTTCTTTTGCATGTCAGCTATTTTTCATCTTGCAACTTAAGTTGATCTTTATTTCTCAATTCTTGTTCTAGAAGTTGGTTTCTTCCTGATAGTGTCGCTGAATCTCCTGTGCTATTCAAAAACCGTTCTTCTAAAATTTTTATTCTTTCCCGTTGTTCAACCTGTAGTTCCAAATTTAACTGTTGTGCTTTGTAAAGATCTTGTGCTTTAGCTAAGTTTTCTTCTAATTCTTAGGCTTTCTTCTGCCAAATATTGGATTCTTCAGGTTGCTTCTCCACTCCCTCCACACTTCTTTTAGGGATCAGTTGGCGGTCTATACATATAACTCTCGCCAGGAAAGATTGCCGGTCACAGCACACCTTGTGCCAATTTAAAATCTATGTTTTTTTAAAGATGCGAGCGACTTCCGGAATAGGATCGTGCCAATGTTGAACGAAAAGACTTTTCGTTCAACATTGGCACGATCCTATCCCGGAAGTCGCTCACATCTTCAGAAAAACACAGATTGTAGACCGGGATCAGGTCTTCTGTGACCAACAATTTTTCTTGGTGAGAGGTTTAGCCTTTCTTTACTTGTTCTATGTCTTGAATTAATCTGCTCAAATTTTGTTCTTCTACATTCGTCATGGGTTCCTCAATTTTTGATTCTTCAATTTCACTTATTATTTCTTCGTCTTCTGGTGTTCTATAGCTAACTGATCCTACAAGTACTATCTTAATTTGACTGCCGGCATTTTCCAAAGAGTCTCCTTTGATCCCCGCCAGCACTCCTCTTACGCCAGAGGTCAAAGAAAGGCGACAGTGTACCGCCAATTGGGTTTAACTGCTCTATCTTCTTTATTTCGCTTACTTCTGGTGAGACTGGCGCCCTCGAAACGAGTCTGACCATATCGGTTTAGGGAAAGAAAAGGGAAAATCGGTCTCAACACTTGGTGAAAAATGAGGGGCGGCAACGGCAATTCTTTGTCTGCATTTTACAGAGTGTTTTCCTCCCGCACGCTGTCGGAAATGTCTGATCCAAATGATAGCCTTTTCAGAGTCTCTCGTGAAAGCCCACTCAGCAAGATATCATTCCAGGGCATCGTGCACAGATTTTCGGCTTACCTAGGAATATCAGGGCAATCTAGTCTTCTAAGATAATTATTCCATCTTCCTCGTTTCCCAATTGGGGAACATCTCGGGCGGCCCTTGCCGAGACCGAATGGGCTACTAAGAGGACGGCGCGTTTAGACCGATGCATTTTGCTGGCGTCTTGGGCGTGTGGGTTGACCTTAAAAATGGTGCGGTCAGAACAGCTTAAAGAAGCCTTCGAAGACCCAGAAAGTCCTTGACCTTGAATCACCCGCGCCTTCGTCTCAGTTGAAAACTTGCTTGTCTGCAGTTTATGACCGGTTCGTAAATATATCGACTTGCGGTGGAATTATATAACATTCAGTACCGAAACGTAACGACGTAAAAAAACCTTATCACTGTTTTTGAATTGTATCAAGACCACTTGAGATAGTGTCTCGAGTGTCGGGTACTCACACTAGGTATAAATACAGAAGATTTGCTAATAACGTCAGTATCCCACTATAAACAGAAATGACGGGGTTTTTACTGCTATTTCTTTTAAGTACTGTTTTTGGTAAGTGCTACCGTCTAAACTACAATTGCAACTAACTTGATGATGCAGGTGCCACCATAAATACTGACTGGCGTATCGTTGGGGGCCAAACGGAAGCGGATGGTGCTTTTCCTTACCAAGTTTCTATACGTATTGATGGAAAACATGGTTGGTGGAGGATCCATAATTGATGCCACCACTATTCTCACTGCAGGTCACTGCCTGCGTGGGTAAGCAATTAAGGCATAAGGAAAAATGAACTTGAACGACCTTCTTCTCTGTATTGCAGGTTTGATGAACTGCCTATGCATATCACCGTAGGATCCAATACCCTGGACCAAGGAGGCGATTCGTATGAGGTATCTGAGCGCCGACCTCATGAACTGTTTGACTTGTGGACGACAGGAGTCAAGTACGATATTGGAATAGCGAAGTTAAAGACTCCAATCGTATTCAATGAAAAGGTTAAACCCGTAAAATTCCTATCAGAAACCTATGTAGGCACCTCTGTCGGCTGTGTTTTGTCTGGGTGGGGAATGACGAAATACCCCGGAGAACCAGCCAATGAGTTGCACTATTTGGATTTGGTAAACTTTTCTCTTGAAAAATGCAGCGAGATGTGGAAAGATAAGTATCTTATGCCAATTGACGATTCACAAATTTGCACTTTTGCAATGGTTGGTCAAGGAGGATGCCAATTCGATTCCGGCGGTCCATTAGTTTCTGGAGGCGGAATCCAAATTGGTATTGTGTCAATGGGAGATCCATGCGCCACAGGCATGCCTGATGTCTTCACTAGGGTTTCCCACTACAGAGACTGGATCGAAAAGAACAGACAATAATTTATTCCCTGTCAATGTATTTAGTCCAATAAGAATAGATCAAAAAATGGCAAATAGGGGAACTAAATCATGTATTACTAATTCCTTCGGAAATGTGTAGCAGGAGGTTCTCTGATCAACATATAATAAAGTCCCCCCGACTACCAGGTGTGCTAGAGGGGCGAGGGGGGGAGACCGAGGTTTTGATGGTCACATTTTATCGCTTTTTCCTTACAAATCGAAAACGGTGTGTCCTAGAAAAAAATTCTTTATGTTGATTAGGGAAACGTCCCTTACACAATTCCGAAGGAACTGGTAATACATGAATTAGTTCCTTTATTTTTCCTATTCTGACTGGGCTAATTATCAGATTACAGAGAATAAAGGGCATTGATTACTAATTCTTTTTTCTTTAGTTTTTCTTAAACGAACCCTCACAGGAAACTGAAATTCACTTTACAAATTTTTTTACCGCTTTTTCCCACAAATCTGCAAAGATAATCTCTGTATCCTCAATATTTAAAGAAGTCAGGTACCTAATTAGTCACTAAATATGATATAATTCAGAAGGAAGAGACAGAACCGTCTTGATCCTTGATGACAATTTGGGCGAAATATTTGTTTTTTTTTTACCACAAATAGCTATTGTGGTGCTAACGTTTAGTGTATCCTTAATCCTTAACGTCGTGACGTAGGTATCTAGGGAATGCAATACCGGGCTCGCGGGATCCCGAAATACCGGGATCCCGCAGCATTTTTAAATAAATGGAGCGAGATTGAGCAATTTGTCGACCAAGGGGACGACTCTGTTTACTTTGTTAGTGAAACGCATAACGGAGAAGTTATATTTAAAATAATTGTTAAACTTTTTTCACTTATATTATAATTGCACAAGAGGTTTGTATTTTACCGAGTAAATTTGGGTTGTCTAGGTAATGATATTCTGTTGCCTAGCAATTAGAGGAGAAATATATATATATATATATAGTCCAGTAACCCTATTTATAATTCGGAAACGAGAGTACTGACGGACCGACAGATAAACATCATCGATATTTTGTTTGATTCGGATTCCCGGTGCTTCAAAACGTGTATTTCCGTCAAAAAAGTGCAGGGTCATTTTTTACCCCGATGATGCAATAACTCCAGGAATAACTCCCTTACTAATGTACGGGTTGGTAAAAACCATTTTTAGCGCATTTTTTAAGAATTAAAAAAAATGTGCTATTATTTGCGTAGGGGGAGTAAACACATGTTCTACCCTTCATGGTATTCTAATGAAAGGTCTCATCGAAATAAATTGGTTTGTACAAACTCTAACTTTCCCGTGCGACTCTCTTTCGAGATCAGTGAACGATGGGGCTTGAGGGGGGGGGGGGACTAGTCTTATCATTTATGGTACTCTAATGAAAAGGTCTCAACGAAAGGTATTAATTTCTACCAACCATATCCCTCCTCCTCGACCTCTTATCGTGATCGAGTATATTCCCTTATACCTCAAGAACGGATTGTCGGAAGGGGGCACTCACAAAGGGCAATTGAGACGTCCGCAAGGAATATATCCATTGGTGATGTCAAATCAAAAGCTATTTCTCTTAAAAAAATGCGCTTTATCTGCACAAGACTTGTGCACAATTTATACTTGTTTGAATCTCATGTGAAATAATTTCAAATGGAAAAACTTTTCATGTCTATATCTCAATAGGTTTGAGCGTCAGAACTTTATTATTATAATTTCGCGAAGAACATTAATTCAAGAACATGATGTGTTTCAGCTAATCACATTATCAAAAATAAAGCATTTTTTATCAGTATGCGTGCGTAACTTTGCCCATTAAGCGACTTTGCATCTCGTACGAGATCCCCATGGTGACAATGAAAAAAAAAATGCAGAGTAAATCACAATGATGACATTGATAAACGCTTGACTTTTTGAAATTGCCGTCTCCACAAGAAAAGCATCGGCACCCACTTTTACTTGCTTGGCTTCTACTCCGGGCCTTTGGAATTCATCCTTGATGGATGAATGAATTCTTATGGAATTTGTCTTGGCGTGCTTCTCGAATAGTATTATCACTGATAATTATCGGTGGAGGGTGGCGACGATATCATTCAGAACTTTTAGTGCTTTTCAGGGCTGCATTGGCAGGGTTCCCATCCAAAACTACGGATACATTGGAACCAAACTAGTTAATAACAAAGGAGAAATGCTTGGTTGGAATTGTTGAGATGCCACATAACTTTGTGCGGCAGATAACCACCTTCTACGTAATTGGTTCCACGCAATGTGGTTACTGATGACGGGCTCAAAGGCCGCATAAAAAATTGCCAAGTCTTTATATTTGATTTGGCAGTTCCAAACGTCGCTCCAACAATGTGCTTGACTTCTTCTGACCCCAGCTGATGTGCTACGTGACAGTTGACATCTGGACAACCGACCACTCCACCTTTTCATTGGATAAAAAAGGAGGGTGAACCCTGAACCAGCTTTAAAATTTTTCTGTATCAGCATTGTCTCCATCTACTCGACCCGGTCTCATGTCCGCGTGCTGATCAGAGGTAATGCATGTACTACGACTGGAGCGTTCAACTTTAGTACAAATATTGAGCACGTAAACCATCTCTTCAGAGAAAAAGTGCACGTACGTACGTGAAAAAATGGTAACATCATAATGACACATTTCAGATGAAGCTCCCAAAAACCCATACGTTCCGCCCCGATGTACTTCATTATAAGAGTGGTCATACGATAATATTGTACCCAGAACTTGGGACCCTGTATCTTGGGAGCTATTAGAACTAGAAAATTGGATTAGGGCTCAAACTGTCAGGAATTTTGTTTACTTTAAAAAAGTAACAGTGATCTTTTGCCTAAGAGCGTTGTTTGTACCAGGCTGGGACGTTTCTCCATAAGAGTCCATGTTAAATTGTACGATTTGCCAATTGATGTATCTTTTTATTTTATTTTTATTTATTGTCTCTCTTGTTCTGGGGCTTCGACAGGCTGACGCCCAATTGCAGGGTGATCCGCATAATGCTTTTTAGAGGTGCCCCTGCAGGATGTCTTAAGTTGTTTTCTACTACCTTACGAATTAGGAAAACTGCAAGAAAACCTAATTCGGAGTAGCCACAGATGAAAAATTCCTACCTCAGCCCGGGTTCGAACACCCGACTTCCGGTTTTGTAGCCCAACGCTCCACCATCTTGAAAACTGATCCTATGACAGTATCGTCTGACTTCAAACCCTCTTTTACAAGGGTCTGAAAACAACACTTCTATTTTAGATCCAAAATGCAAAGACAAGTGAAAAATGTTAAGGGATAATTTCAAAAAGACGCACAAGACGAGCAGCGAGGACACGGTCAAAAATATTTGATCTCGTAAATATGGGAAGGAATTGTTTTCTTTTCTTGCCCATACCTATATCAGGAGGACGTAAATTTCGAACCTAGAAAGAACTGCTGATTAGAGTGATTATGACGGAGATGACCAACTTCATCAAAGGAATCCTCTCCACCTACCAACATTAACGGATATTAAACGGAAATCACAAATGAATTACAATAGAATACTTTTTAATTATGTTGTAGTTAAACATGGAATGTACCTCAGCGCCATATGGCTGTGTTGAGTGTACGTTTTCAATATAATTAATAACTAAAAAAGAGATCTTTCAGAGGACAGCTGCTCCTTCTTAAAATTTCACAAATATAAAGAATATAAAAAATATGTTTTTGGAGTTATCATAACAAACCAAAACAAAAATCATAACAAAATGAATATAGATAAAACATAAAAAGAAACAAAGTGGCGCGTTCCAACTCAAAAAAATCTTGCCCCACAATATTCGGGTGGAATGTGAACAACCAATCATTTAACTTCGGAAAAAATTATTTTGCCCTTTTCACTGCTAATTTCCAATGGAAGTTTATTGAAGAATGTTACGGAGGTATAGGAACAAAATCGTTTAAACGCTTCAGATGAAGGTTTTGGAATTACTACACGATTTAAATGTCTTAACCTAGCTGAATACACCAGAGTGCGAAACTGATTGGACACCCCTTAAATAAAAAATACGTCAAACTTTGAAGATGTAGAGATGTCTAAATTGAAGTACTTTCAGAATTTTAAAGAATGGATACGAATGATCACCCCTCCTAACGGGAAAAATCTGTCAATACTTTTTTGCGCTACACAATAGGATGGACTGTAGTATAGGCCCCACCCCAACAGGACAACCCGTACTGTATCTTACTTTCTACAATCGCAAAATAAATTGTTCGCAAGACAGCCAGTGGACAAACATATTTTAATAAATAAAATTTCCTCAAAACCATATTTATATATTTTTTTACCCCAGTTATATGGTTCTTCCAATTGCAGTTTTCATCCAGCTGTATACCCAGATACTTTATATTACAAACCTGCTCAACCACAATACAATTAAGACAAAAATTTGAATTTTTTTCTTCCTTTAAACAGTTTCCACATTTAAAATACGATTGTTAATTCTGTTCTCTATAAGACCAATGAAAAATTAACCAACTTGTGTTTTTTCACATAAAGCTAATTTGTTAACTGTAAACCATATCTTTAAATCATTTAGATCTTTTTGCATTGTATTTTCCAAGCCACAAGACGTACTTGCTGGATAACAGAAAGCCGTGTCGTCGGCAAAACAAGTTACGGAACCGTTAAAATTACCCGAACACAATTTGTTTATGTATATATAATAAAAATAATCTGCCCATGGATGGAGCCTTGTGGAACTCCACAGGTAACGGGTAATAAAGAACTTGTAACTTGATCTACACGTACACACTGGTTTCTATCCAACAAGTAACTCTTAAGGCTCCTCTGTAGTCAATCCGCCATATTGGAAAAATAGTCAAACTTTCTTATGAAATGCTGCTTTTGTAGTTGAAGTCTAACAAACTCTCGATAGTGGATATTCTTTGCAATGATGAAAAGAACGTCGGTACTTAAAAAAATTGAAATATCGGTCTTAGTTTTTTAGGAAGATCGATGAATAGAAAAATCGTTTTTTGTAGATAACAGCCATTGTAATGGGGGTAGAAAAACGTACAGCACCAATTTGGAAATCCGACAGTATTTCTTACGGCGCGGCGGTACTTATTGATATTATTTCCATCTATTATGATATGGCATATATTTTAAAAAATATGTTTCGCGATCTTCAGAAAAAAATCAAAACGCTAACGAAGGATAGGCAACTCAAATTGGACTTATAACGCCTGAGGCGACAACTCATTACTTGAAAGGGAAAACAAAAGAAACTACCTGGCATTACCCTACACATTGTTACGCCGTTCCTAATGATATGGATTAGATAAATTACTATTTATTATTTATTTATTTGAATGCACTTGATTTGTAAATCATAATGTCACATATTCCCAAGACGAAAAATGGATATCCTATTATAGGTACATTGGAAATAATTTTTTATTTCTAAAACCTTTTGCATCCCAACAGGATGCTTCAAGAAATAAAAAAAAAACCTATAATGAAGCTGTAATAATATTTCCCTTTGACGGGGCGGGGGGTACGTACAATACTAGGTACTTCACATATTATACCATGAATATAATATAATATAATATAATATAATATAATATAATATAATATAATACCCCTGTGGGTTCGGGGAAGAGAATTGACCCACGGTAATCCCTGCCTGTCGTAAAAGGCGACTAAAAGGGACCAAAGTCCAGGGACCCTTACCCATAAAATCCTGACCCATACTCTACCTATTGTAAAACCGTCCCGACCCATCCCAGCAATCCCGTCTCTCCACGGAAACCCAAAGTGTTACGTCGTACCGTGCTGATGGGTGAATGGCAGCACGTTAGTCTGTCCCTAACGGTGGTCGAGTCCCAACTTGTAATGGGGGTGTTGTTCCTGCCACAAAGGAACATAGAAAACAATGGATAGTACAACTAAAGTGGAAAACACACCCCAGGCGGGTATGAGCTTTGACTCTGAGTCCCGCCCCGGTACGCCGGGCTGCCCCATGGATTTAGGGGGAGGGGGGGCACCTGTCCATTTGCCCCTGCTGACTCCGACAATGGATCAGCAGAAGCTGTAAACATCCTTCTCTTCGGAGAAACAGGGAGAAGATCGCCCATTGATGTACAGCCGACTCCGCAAGGCGTAAGTCCTTTTATGAGGAGTGCCAAAACTCAGAGATCTCCCATGCGGTCGAGACCTGAGGAATTAATAACTAACCAAATAAACAGAACAGAAAAACAAACAGAAAAAGAAATACACTTAGATCGAGACAGACAGACAGCCAACGAAGTAATAATAGACGATGAAGAACAACAAAACGCAAAAAAGAAAAGAAAACGCAGCAGAAAACACAGCCCAAACGAGAAACTTAAAGAAACCCACGAGACACAGCTCGTTGAACAGAACTATACATTAAAACTGAAACACACCAAACTCGAAACGCTGAGCCCTTTTCAGATGCAGCGAGAGATATTCCAATGTGTGGGGGAAGCAGTAGAAATAAAAAAAATAGCGCAAGATACCCTAAATATTAAACTAAAAAACCTGAATCAATTATACAAATTACAACAGCTTGCTACAATATGTAAAGAAGAGGCAGAGGTCAAACCAAACGATCGATTAAATAAGTCAATAGGAATCATTAGGAGTAACGACCTACTAGCGTGCAGTAATGAAGAGCTGCTAACAGAATTAAAAGACCAAGGAGTGAGCGAGGTAATGAGAATACTGAAAAAGGAAGGGAGCGAACTGAAACCGACTGCATCAATTAGAATAACGTTCAATAGTAGTCAGCTACCAAAAGTAATATACGCAGCGTATCTCCGAATTGAGGTAAAACAATGTATACCGCTTCCCATTCGCTGCCTTAACTGTCTAAAATTTGGACACCCGCAAAAATATTGCACAGCCAAGCAAATGTGTGACTGTGGGAAAGAGCGACACGAGGCAGGAACCAACTGCGACACACCGCCTAAGTGTATAAACTGCAACGAGCCCCACCGCACCAGGTCGTCTGAATGCGATGCCTGGCGAACGGAAAAGGAAATAATCAAATACAAAACAATACACAAGACATCGTATTGGCAAGCGAGGCAAACAGTGACCAGTAAGTCATATGTGAGACAGTCAACATCATATGCGGGAGCGGTAATTCGTAAGACGACACCATTACCTCCGTCTAGGGAGCAAGTAAGACACAACGATTTACTACACAAAGAAACAAAAAAACCTTACGAATTATCGAGAATCACCAAAGCGGATAGGTCCGAGTCAATGTCATCAATAATCTCGATAGAAAGTCCGAGTGTTAGCCTTGGGCAGCAAGGGCCACCTATAAAACACTGGAATGACAATAGTTGTGGGCAAGAAACAGAGGATACTGACTCTGCCGATACCGAAGCATCGCAATCACAACCAAAAAAACCAAAGAACCCAAGAGGGTGGCCACGAGGCAAACCAAGAATAAACCAAAGAAAAGATCCGGAAGTGACAACCTACGTCAAAAGGAAAAAAAAAGATACTTAAACTGAGTTAAACCTAGCTGTTATAATTGCAAACGTGATATTTAACTGTGATATTATATGTTAGGATTAAAACCTGTGATACTTAAGTTGTAAAAGTCCCGTATACATACATAATATATTTCTTGTTTGTTCTAGTCCGATATATTTTTTTAGTGATAAACAATCAATCAGATTGTCAGACACATAATTAATTTTAACTAAGTTATGTACGAAAAGATAATTCAATGGAACGCACGAGGGATTAGGACAAAATACGATGAGGTATTCCCTGGCAGAGCAAATAGAACCGGTGATTATTTCAATCCAAGAAAGCAAGCTTAACGCGAATGAAGTGTTTCGAATGACAAATTACGAGGTGCACAGGAAAGATGTTCGAGTGGGCCCTGGTGAGAGAAGCCGAGGAGGTGTAATGAACCTCGTGAGGAAGGGAACAATGATGAAACAAATTCAGCTAAATACGTCGCTCCAAGCCGTCGCTACCGAAATAAATATTGGAAAAAAGTTCACCGTTTTAAATCTATACTTACCTAACTCATCATGGCCTGAGAACGATGTAACGAACCTGGTGTCGCAAGTGTCACAACCCCTTATTCTGGTTGGGGATTTTAACTGTCATAATACGGTCTGGGGATCGTCACAAACAACTCCAAAAGGAAGCCTAATGGAAACAATTATCTATGAAAACTCTTTAATCATACTAAATAATGGACAACCGACTTACCTTAACGAAGCAAGTGGTAGATTTAGTGCAATAGACTTATCACTAGCTTCCCCAGCCTTGGCACCACTGGTCCAATGGACAGTTCTAGAGGATGCTCATCATAGCGATCATTTCCCTATTCTAATGCAGTTAAACATTAAAAAATTCGACAGCAAGAGAGTATGGAAGTATAATACCAAAAAGGCAGATTGGGCAAAATTTGAAGAATGTGTACAAACACCCAACGTGCTGCAAACCTCAATTGAGAACGCAGCCGAGAACGTGAGGATGCAAATAATGACAGCTGCATCTAAAGCTATACCGAGGTCAGGAGGGAAAACGAAGCGGCCCCCGGTGCCCTGGTGGAATGCTGAAATTAAGAACCTTAATAAAACAAAAAAACAATTGCTGAATATATTTAAAAGGCACCGTACGAGTGAAAACTGGGTGAAATTTAAGATCGCACGGGCAAGAGAAAGGAGTGCAAAAAGGAAGGCACAGAGAGAATCATGGCAGGAATATACATCTACACTGACCCACTTCAGCTCTCAAAGAGAAATGTGGAAGAAAGTGGGGTGTATCATCGGATCTACCAGACCACAAAGGGAACACACCCTATTAATAAATGGAACAGCCGTGAAAGAACCAGAACGCATAGCCAAATACCTAGTAGAATTCTTTCGGGAGATATCCAGCGATACACAGTACAGTGAAGAGTTTAAATCTCAAAAACAAATCAGAGAATCTGTACCCCTAAACTTCCAAAGCAGCAATCAAGAATCCTATAACAGACCCTTTGATATGACCGAAATGGAAAGTGCGCTTGAACGGTCCAAAGATACGGCCCTAGGGCACGACGAAATATCCTTCAGCATGCTGAAGCATCTGCCCCCTGAAGCCAAAAATGCACTGCTGCAGTTATATAATAACATATGGAAGGGCAACACTTATCCAGAGTCGTGGAAACTTGCAACAATTATACCGCTGGCAAAGGAGAATAAGAACAATTCACAACCGGAAAATTTTCGCCCAATTTCCCTCACATCATGCTTGTCCAAGATTATGGAGAGAATGGTTAATAATCGATTAGTGAGTATGCTGGAGAAGGATGGTCGAATAAGTAAATATCAAGCCGGGTTCAGGAAGGGACACTCGACAGTGGACCAACTCCTTTATTTAGATTACATTGTCAAGGGGGCTTTCACTAATACTGAACACGCCACTGCGGTATTTTTTGATATTAAAAAAGCGTACGACACAGTATGGAAATACGGAGTTCTAGAAACACTGCATAGGTGGGAGTTCCGGGGTCACTTGCCAATATTTATCGAAAATTTTCTAAAAGATAGAAGAATACAAGTTAGGATGGGTGAACATTTATCGCAGATCGTTACGCAAGAGAACGGGATACCTCAGGGCTCGGTGCTCAGTGTTACCTTGTTTGCTATAGCAATAAACAACATAGCAGACGCAATCTCCATAGATACAAAGGCCTTATTGTATGTCGACGACTTGTGTATAGTAAGAACTGGCCATAATGTTAACAGCATGTATGAGGCACTGCAGATGGATATAAATATATTAAGTGAAGAGGCTACGAAGCGAGGGTTCGCTTTCTCCACAAACAAAACAAAGGCAATGCACTTCTGCCGTCTCAGGAAGACCCACCAACTTCCACCCCTATATCTACAGGGTGACAAATTACCCACAACTGAAAATTTAAAATTTGTAGGGTTAATCTGGACACAAAGCTTACCTGGAAACATCACATTGAAGCAATATCATCAAAATGCAAACTTACTCTAAACAGGATTAGGGTGCTCAGTGGACATACCTGGGGAGCGGACAAGGAAACGCTCACAAAGGTAGTCAACGCCTTCATTAGGAGTAAGTTGGAATATGGGTCGGTGGTATACACATCGGCGGCCAGATCGCAACTTAAAAGTATAGAAGGGGTGTGGAACAAAGCCATGCTATTAATAACGGGGGCATACCGCACATCACCAATAGACAACCTCAATGTCGAAAATAATTCGTTACCCATTTACTTGAGATTCAAGCAGCAACACCTTAGGTATGCGGTAAAGTTACTTGCACAACCATCCCATTTCTTATTTGAAGTTATCAAAAACCCCATACTACACCCCAGATACGAATGGCAACAGACCAGAACTATACCGGCAATTGTGAAATTGAATAAAGAAATACGCGATTATGGAAAATTAGATAGAAACCTGTGGGAAGAAGAAACACCGGAATTTGATAGGAAAAAGGTCACCGATTTTCTTTTAAAAGAAATAAACAAGGATTTCGTTGTAAAATGGCAGGAAGTATGGTCGACAAAGGAAACACACCTTAGAGTAATCCACCCACAGTTAGAGGGGAAGAGGTGTACCAAATGGCAAATTAAAAGAAAAGATCAGATTGCAATAACAAGACTGAGAATTGGACATACTAGATTAACCCATAGTCACCTCCTATTGGGTAAGAGAAATAAAAAATGTGCCCAGTGCGGGGAAACCCTGACGGTGCAACATATTATGAACGATTGCATTAAACTAGATACCTATAGACATAAATATAACATATCCTTAGGGGTACTAAACAATCCTGTAAAATACACGGATGTAATAAAATATCTGAAAGAAATAAATATATATACAGAAATATAGATATATGGCAGAAGACTTACCTTAAGAGGAATGCCAATTACCAGTGCAGTAGACGCTTCCTCCGGTAGGTCTGGGTTGATCTGGAAAAAAAAGAAAAGAAAAAAAATATAATATAATATAATATAATATAATATAATATAATATAATATAATATAATATAATATAATATAATATAATATAATATAATATGAACTCTGTTTTATAACAATGCTTTCAAACCTACCAGAAGCGCAGCACTTTGTTTAGTTAGATCAAATCAAATAGGACTAAATTACTCGTTTGTGTATATTTCCCATCTAAAATTATGTTTCCTCAGATAGTCCAGTATACGGAGCGGTCAGAAGGGCCGATTCCTGCAAAATGTGGTGTAAACGATTTTAACGTTTTAAATGGTCCATTTGGACCCAAATAACATGTATTTGAAGAGTGCACACAAATTTTTGCCCGGCACAACTTTTGGCAGCCAAAAAACCTCAAAACGTTCGGACTTTTTTCAGTTTTTCGCTTAAAACTCGAAAACGGTCCATATTTTATGAATAACACTTCTTTAGTAAATTAAAGAAAACAAAATTCTGCGTCGATAAAAAAACAAACAAAATCGGTCCAATAGAAAAATTTTTACAAGCGATCAAAAAACGCCCATTTTTTCCAACTTTTCTAAAGAACTGAGTTAAACTTTTTTTAATGCGTTGTGGCTCCTAAAGGAACGATAAAATCCCCCCCCCCCCCACCCTAAAGATTGTAGAACATCAATCAGAGAGTTCAAAAAGTACAAACAATTTAAAATTGGACCAATTTTTGAAATTCGTTGGAAAAAATGGGCGTTTTTTGATCGCTTGTAACAATTTTTCTATTGGACTATTGTTTGTTTTTTTTTATCGACACATAATTTTGTTTTCTTTACTTTACTAAAGAAGTATTATTCATAAACTATGGACCGTTTTCGAGTTTTAAGCGAAAAACTAAAAAAATGCCAAAAATTTAGAGGATTTTTGGCTGCCAAAAGTTGTGTCGGGAAAAAATTTGTGCGTATTCTTCAAATACATGTTATTTGGACCCAAATGGACCATTTAAAACAATAAAATCTTTTACACCACCTTTTGCAGGTCAAAATTATCTGCATACTGAACTAAGAGTAAGTCTTCGTGAAAATTATCTATTTCGTGAAATGCGACCAAAAGCAAAAGATGCACATGCCCTCCATAAAGTTGCCCCCAATAGATAACAAATGACACATAGGCATTTTTTCACTTATTATCGGAACATAAACATAGGAAACGTCGTGGTATGTTATATAAAAGAAACGCTACCGATATAAATACAATTTTCCTTTTTAGTTAAATTCCTAAGCGGGATACGATAACTAATGGCCGACACTGACAATTTTATTTAAAACAAAGTGTCACTGTTTTGCTCATGTAAAGTCAAGTTAGTGAAAGTGGTGGATATAAAAAAATTCTTGCACTATTTATCTTTCCGTTTGAGAATACCTTTTGATGGAGTCCCACAAACTTCACATCAACTTGGCGAATTTTTTTCAAATTTCCAATACTATGTAGCGACAGAAACCGGTATATTTTTTACTACCTACTTCTTTTTTCAATATGGACTGATATCAACTTTATCAAC